CCAAATGTTTCACCTGGGAGAGGCTTGAAAGAAAGCCACCCAGTGCAGCTGACTAAGGCTAAAGCCTGCCAGAAAAGTTATGAATCTAATATATATAAAAATACTAAAATATATTTAATATATATAAATATATAATATAAAAATACTAAAATAAGGCACGACTTCCACAGAAAATCCAAAAATCACCAGCGCACCATAGGATTGATTGTGGCCCACAGGACCCCCACAAAAGCTTCACAGGATTACAAACTCCACACAATCTCCACAGGAACTCCACAGGATCTCCACAGGATTACAAACTCCACAGGAACTCCACAGGATCTCCACAGGAACTCCACAGGATTACAAACTCCACAGGATCTCCACAGGAACTCCACAGGATTATAAACTCCCATTGTTCACTTCACAATAACATTGTCTGGCCTGCAGCCATTTTCTAACTCAAGAGGTGAAAAGCTAGCTAGAATGAAAAGGCCTAGTTGTAAGGCAGGCCTGAAAGAAGGCCCAAAAAAGAAAAAGGAGAAGACAGGAGAAGCTGAAGGAGAAGGCAAAGCAGAAGAACACGAAAAACATACAAAAGAGGAAGGCCTGCAAGAAGGCCAGCCGAAGAAGGAGACGGAAAATCCCAAGACACCCCCCCATACAGAGGAAGCCTCTGAGAGTGGCTTTTCATTGACCTCCCACAGGCTGAAGTTTCATGAGGAAACACAAAAAGCAATTCAAGGCCTGAAAGAAGGCCAACTGTCAGAAGACGAGTTTCGGAACAAACTTTGCAAAAATGAAAAGACAGCTTTGTGGAAGAAGTTTGAGTGCGAGAGAAACAAAAGCCCTGAAGCGAGGAAGGCCTGGCTTGAGATGGAGGGCAAAGGAGTGATGGAAAAAAAGAAGCAGCTGCTTCTTGATTTCATCAAAACTGGTCAAAAAAGTGCAGGGGGCTTGAAACAAAGCCAAGAAGCTTCCCAGAGCAAGCAAGAAAAAGAATTGTTCGAATGGGTTCCATGGAATCTAGGGCAGAATGAAAGGGAATGGAAGAAATGTGATGGACCTCATCTACGTTTGGTTGAGAAAGACTTCTAGTTGCTGTCGAGCTTCGACCTGCTCTTCTCGCCTACAAACCTTGCCCCCTCAAAGTCTGACTTTGGTTTGGTTGGCGCAGCAAGACCTCCACGCGAGCAGATACCATCCACCTAAGTTAGTATGACTTGAATCGAGGCTGAGGCATGAGACACCCTAACAAAGCTAATTCTTTCAGGTTGAAAAGAAGAAGGATAACGCACTGCTACTCTTTTGACAGGCTAGGCACGCAGTGTAGCTGTGTTGTCCATGCTTGTCACTTGTTGGCCAGAGGCATGTGGGGAGTGCTTGGACAACGCAACGGTAACCTTCACCAAAGCTCTCCAAGACCTTGGCCCGTTCCAAGGCTCCTGAACCTGAATGCACGCTTCCTGAAGACAGGCGAGCCGGCTTAGACTTGGACTTGGACTTGGAGCGAGAGCGGGAGCGCTTCTTTCGCTTCCTGTCTTTCTTGGGGGCTGCGCCGGCATAGTCCACAGGAGGTGGGTCAAGGGCCTTCAAAGCCTGTTGAAAGCCCTCTGGATCCTCAGGGTTTTTGTGGCCTGCTCAACGCACATTTATATAGTATAAATATAAATATATATATATATATATATAGTGTACAAATATCTGGGTATATACATATTGATTTACAGCTATAGTTACAGCTACACACACACATATATATATATATATGTATTTCAAAGAAGAGCCCCTAAGACCGCTTCCAAGTGGCCCGCTTCAAGTCATGGGGGCAGACAACAGAAAACAGCACCAAACAGCACAAAACAGCAGAAACCCCAAGGCAGCCTACAACTTTCCCAGCAAATCCTGCATCTTTCCCTTTCACATCCCTTCCACAGTGGCAAGCTTTCCAGCTCTTATTTTTCCACACTCAAATCTGTCAAAGCAGAGTCTGTGCCACAGGTGGGTCACCAATGAGCACCTGCCAGGGCCACACCAATGGTCACCAATGTTTCAGACCCAGTTCCTGGACATGTAATTAAAAACAAATCAATTAAAAACAAAGCAAAGTTCCTTGACCCTGCAAACAATCAGAGAATGAACATAAAACACATACATGAATATGAATATATGTATATTATCTAGTATAGCATGTATATACTACTAGTAGAGAGACCTTCTGAACCTCTGCACTTGAAAATTGCTGAAAGTGACTTGACTCAATCCACCTCAATGGCTCCAAGAGCCTTTCCCTTTTTTTTCAAAGTTCATTTTCCTCCAGCTTCTTTGCTTGAGCCAGTGTCATGTACAAAGCAGAGGGCATGGCATCACCCAAGCAGTGACACTTGCACACAACAGGGCATGGCATCACCCAAGGCACTTGCACAAAACAAGGAGCAGGGCACACAAAGCAAGGTACACTACCCATGGTCTATTACCTGGGAAACTTGCACACAGGCAAGGTTGCATGGAACCTGACATCACTCCACAAGGCTCAATGGACCCAATGCTGGCACGGCTCATAGGGTCATACCCACCAATCCACCTTGGGCAAAGGTAAAGGCTTGTAGTAGGCACAGGCAAAGGGGTAAAGTTTCACAGGGCTTGCAAGAGCTGTCAAAGGGAATGCATGCCAAGGGCAAGGTCTTGAGGCACACCTCTTTTCCAGCAGCTTCATATGGCTTGGAATCAACTCTTGCCTCAGCATGTTTCACATGTCCCTGGAGGATACACCCCCAATCATCATGTGTGCAGCTTTGGCCACTTGAGTCTGTGTGGCAAATTTAAATATGCCACTGGAAATGATATCATGTCTTTTTGTATTTTCTCACTGGTGGAAGGCCATCGATGATTGGCTGTAGGGCTTCCAACACCTCTGGTGGAACCTTTCCTGGGGCTTGTTCCTCCATGCCCTCTGGGAGGGGGTGGTCTGCCCTGATCAAACTCCACTTCTCCCAGCAGAACTGGTGTATGATTTGGAGTGCTGCCTGCCACCCCCTTCTTTGCGCAAAGGATGCTGTTTTGGATGGTGCAGCATAAGCCAAACCTTCTAGCACCTCATGCTCCACAGAATACCTGCAATTGAATCTGTGGTCCACAAAGCTGAGGCCTATCACACAGTGAGGTGGGGAGATCTTAGCCAAGATCTCCTCTGGGCTCCTGTAGACCTTTGGTGCAGGTGTCCTTGGAGCTGGTGTAGCTGGGGCTGGCCTGGGTGTGTAGGGTGCTGGTTCAGCTGGTGTTGGTTCAGCTGGTGCTGGTTCAGCTGGTGCTGGTTGAACAGATCGCCCAGATGAAGCAGAGGCTGCATGCCCCTTACCAAAGTCATCAGGATTTGGCCACCCACCTTTGTGTTCAGGCTCAGGGGGTGGAGGGGGTTGTGCTGCAGTGTGCAGTGTTCCTTCCCTTTGAGCCTTCAGCCTTTTGGCTACTGAATTGATGAGAGCACCTAGCTTTCTCTTTTTTCCACCAATGATGTCTTCCTTTTCTGCATCTTTGCTTCTCCCTGCTCTGCCTTTTCCTCTCCCTCTGCCTCTACCTCTCCCTTTGCCTCTACCTCTACCTCTACCTTTACCTTTGGGTGCCACAGGGACATCTGCTTTTCTCTTCAGTCTTGCCTTCCTTCTCTTCACCTTCAAATCTTTCAAGTCCTGTTGGTTGTTTTCATCATGCCCCAGTTCACTCAGGACCTCTGAGAACTCACTGTCAATGTCCTTATTGGGCTTCTTGGCTGACACATACTGCTCAGCTTTGGTTTTGGCCTCTTGAAGGTCTTCTGGATTGAAAAGCATTTGGAAAAGGATGTCTTCACAATGCTGCCTGCTTGGCACTCCTCTCACTGGATCTCCACCAAGTAGCACAATGAGATCCTTGATTTGTTGGACTGTAATGGGCGTGCCTGCCAAGCAAAGAGCCATTGGCAAAGACATGGGTTCCCCTGACCTCCTCCAACCCACAGGCCCCTGGAAGACATTGGCCAAAGTGGGTTCTGTTGGGATTGCAGCCCAGTCATCAAGGTCAACAATACTCTTCCACACCAAGTGCTGTCTGCTAGGCTTCATGACATAGATGGTCTCTCCAGTGTCACTCTGTTCCACTGCCATCTCCCAAGCTAGGAAAGAGAATTCTGCACTGGCCACAACCCTCATGATGGAAGCTGTGGACCTTTGCGCAACACATGTGCCTGGTGTTGCTAGAATGGATTGCCATGCTGAGTTGCATGTCACCCCCCTTGGAAAAGTGCCTGCTTTTGGCCAGTAGTTGAACAACCACTGTGTGGCTGCAGCGCTTTGCCAAAGCCCATGTGGTGTTGGGCTTGGCCACTGGGAGGTCACCCCTTGTGGTAGCATGATGGCCTGCATGCTCTTGGGGAGGTTGTGTGTGGAGGCTTTCATCAGAGCATTGATGGAGTTGAGTTCTGTTCTGTTTGTGCCTGCCTGGACTTTTGTGGAAGCTGCAACCTTCACTGTGTTCATTTTCCTGGCTTCCAAAATGTCAGATGCCAGAATTCTCTGCATTATAGCAGTGTTGCTAAATTGGCCCTGCTTTGGGGTCCTGATAATGTCCTTGGCCCTCTGGTGGGCAAGCTCGACAAGCCTTGAATCTCCTAGGGTTTTGGTCATCACCTCCTGAAGTCTTGTGGCTGGGGTGTCTGGACCAAATGCTTTGAACTGGGCATCTTCCTCATAGGCCATCAGAAGGACCCTCACAGCTGGAGCTAGCCTCCACACCATTTTGTCCAAGGTTTCACCAGGGGTCCTCTGGACTGAGCTGCTTCAGGCAGGGCTCCTCTGGAGTGAGCTGCTTCAGCCTCAAGCAGAATCGACCATTGTGCCACAGCTTTCTTGCGAGCCTCTTGGGCCACTACAGGGTTCTTTGACAGGGCATGGCTGTAGCAATGTGGGGGCACTTCATTCATGGATGCCAAGCTTTGGGCCCTTGCCTCCAGAACCTTGTCAAAAAGGTCTGTGTGGTAGAGCAAGGCATCTTTGTGGATGCACCATTCTGGGAACAGATGCTGCAAAGTCTTGAAGTTCCACAAAGAGGAAGCCACCAGCTCTTCAAGCTCATGTGCCCAAAACCTGTCTCCAGAGCAGGATTGGTTGAATTGAGTAACTTGAAGTGGTGATAGGACTTCCCTTGCCTTTGCAGCATGCACTTTCCAGGTTGCTTTACCTGTGGCAAGGATGGCATCTTTGATGGTCAGACTCCTTTCAGTTATTAAGGAAGGGGCCAGCTTCCATGTTCCTTGCTTCTTTTTGAGCTCCTGAAGCTCTCTTTGGGGATTGCTCTCTTGTGGAAGTTGCTGGTCTGGCTCAGCATCATCCTTCTGCTCTGGGTCTTCAGCAAAGAGCTGCTCAGCAAGGATCATCTTATTTACCCAGAACTGTCCATCCCAAAAAAGCATTGACTCAAAGAAGGAAAACCACCTCATCAACTTGATGAGTGGTCCCTTGTCCACAAAAGAAGGCAAATATTGCAAGCTGGTGAACAGAGCTTCTTTGTCTTCCCTGGAGGTGGGCTCTGGTTTCCTCATTTCCTGGCAAATGAGGTGTTCATACTTCTCCCAGCTGCTGGAATCAATTGTCCTGGTGGCAAGGAACTCCTCCAGCTTTGCCTTCTTCTTGAAGAACCACTGGCTGCTACCAAAGGGTCCATAGCTAACATTTGCCACCAATGTTAGCTGTAAGACGACCCTCCATGCCCCTGAAATGCTCTTCTTCATGGCATTTTTTAAATCATTCCAGGCCCTGTGGAAGGGGTCAAATTGGGCATGTAGCATCAAAGCACTGGAACTAAACATCAAGAAATTGAGGGCTGCCAGGTTTACAGGCCCTTGATCACTGATGCTGACCAGGAGTGGGATGCTGCCAAGGTCCAGACTTCTTGGCTTCTGTGGGGTGGCCTTGCCAGTCTTCTCATCTAAAATCCACCACAGTCCCTCTTCATCCTGGATTCTGTACTCAGTGCTTTCCAGTGGTCTTGCAATGAGTCCTTCAGGAACCACAAAATCAGTCAATGACAAACCAACTCCCCTAAGTGCTGCTGAGAGGGCCCTCATCTCATTGTAGCCAGGAATTCTGCCCAACGCGCTGCTCTTGGCATAAGGCAAGAGGGACTCATGGAGCTGGCTCATCATGACATGACCCATTTGTTGGTTCAACATCCAAGCTCCTTTGTCTAGGGCTGGAGAGTATATGGCCCCCACTAGTATCTCCTTGCCTCCATAAGAGGAGGGGTCCCATGAGACACATAGTTGGCATTGCCCTTGGAATGTTGAATTCAGGGCTTGGTAATGCAAGAGAGAGTCAAGATATGACTCATAATGCATCATTCTGGTGCCTTGCAAGGACAAATCTTCATGAGTCAGTGCCACCCTTCTTCTGTGCAGCTTTTCTTTCCTGAGACGATACATCAGGATCATTTTATTCACTGGGTCTGCTTGCCTAGTGGCATGGCCAGTCTTTGATCTCAGCACAGGCAGGGCAGTGAGGTTCTTTGCAGACAGTTGGACAGCCAACCTGCTTAGCCAGCCACCCAGCTTGTTCACCACTCTGGGAAGGGTCTCCAAGACCAAGCAATGCAGCAATCTTTGGCCTCTGGCTTTGGAAGCAGGGTGGCAGTACACCCACACAAGGAAGTAGACAATGTCACTGAAGGTTGCTGAGTCCAGGCTTGATGTAATGCAGTGGCCCATCCAAATGCTGGTACTCAACCTCTTCCATTGATCCACACATCCAGGGCTGTGCTGGATCAGGTTTTGCCAAGCACCTCTGCAAACACCTGTGCCCTCAAAGGCCAGCTCAACATGATGTGTGACATTCATGGGGTCAGTGATGATACCCATGATTGCTTCAGCCTCCAAGAAGAGTCTGGAGAGCATGTTGCACATACCAAGTAGCAGGTTCAGGGCATTCAATTTGCTGGCAGCCTTGAGAGTTTTGTTCTTCATCAGCCACAGAAGCATGGCAAAAAAGCCCCTGGACTCCACAGTATGGATTTTCCAGGGTGTTGCCTGATCTGGCTGGAAATCTTCCCCCCTGTAGTGAAGTTCTTCCCTGCCAATCATCAAAGCATCCAGTTCATTAGCAATGGATGCTTTGTTTTCCCTGAGCATCTTCCCAGATGGTGTGGTAATCTGGCATTTGGCATGCATCCTTGACCACAACCATTCCACTTGCTCTGGGTCAGTGAAGTATGCACTGACCTGGTATTCTTCAATGGTAGCTACCTGATAAGGCATTTGAAAATCCTGCCATGGGTCTTTTGGCACCTTTTTTGGCTGTTGCTCTTCCTTCCTCTCCTCTTCAGCTTCAGCTGCCACCAGGTCCATGCTTGGATATTAGTTTGGTGAAACTCACAGGTTCCAGGTTTCTCACAGTTACCTGTAGCCTGTTTAACTGTAACTGTATGTGATGATATGGTTGAAGCTACATACATTGCCCCATCCTTCACACACAGCAGTCTGTACATGCAACAGGTACAGTCACCTGTTGTCCTGTCCTAATTTGATGCCTCAATAGAGTTTAAAAGGCACTGTCCCTTACAGCTTAGGGTGGGAGGGTTGGGCAAAACATGCTTGTTTGTTTTGAAGCATGCTACCAAGTCTGCCAGCAAGGCCAGCTGTGAGCCACACTCCCATGTGAAGGAGTTGCAATCCACCAAGATTCCATGCAGCACAATGCTGCCTTGGGCCTCCATCTCAGCCACACATATGCATGCCAGGCCTCACCAAAATCAGCTAAAGGGCCACCCAGCCAAAGCCTTGGATTGTTCATTTTCAGGGCATGCTCAGAATACTCTGCTTCAAGAATTCTTGTTGCTTCACCCAATCATTGACCACCCCACTGGCCCACTCCCATCATGATGGCCAAGCAGCTGTGTAGTGAAGGCCATCTAGGCTGCAATGTGTGTCTTCATGCCTGAGGCAGGCTGAAGGCAAGCACCACCACTCACTGTGACACCACAGAAGCACTCTGAAGCTTCTAAATTCTACTAGGTGTGAGATGAGATGCAAACATGTCCTGTTTCACACCAACATTGCCAAGAGTCCAGCCACCAGTCAGTGAGCCCAATCACCATAAAGGCCAGCTTGCAGGCACTGACAAAGCTTCTGCCCCTGCTTGTGCCTGTTGCTCATGAACCTGACATTCCTTTTGCACAGCCTCAGCTATCTCTGGTTTGATTTCTAGTTCCAGCACACCTTTAAGTGGGCAGTACTAACAGCAGGACTCAGTAAAATGTAAGCAGATCTGATGGCATGTAACATTAAACTCTGGCATGATCATGGGCACAGACAAGGAACCCACCACAGCGATAGCAAATTGTACACTGATGGCATAGAAACCTGGTGAATGGTACTTTAGGGGTCCATAGGTATGCATCCTTCTGACGCACACAGCCTGCTGGCATCAATGCTGTCACAGGCAGGCACATACATGGATTTGCCTTGTCCTGGTCACTCATCTGAGGCTTGCTGTTCAACCATGCAGCAAGCAAGGCCTTGCACAAAGACCATTCCTGTGAATCAATCATACACATTGCACCCTTCTCAAATTGGTAGCCATCAGGGTTCTCATTGAACATCCTCTGAATGGCCAGCTTGATGAGTGGGCCTGAGTCCTTCACCACCTTGGCTGCTCTTTGAACCATCACAAGCTCCTTCTCATTCTTGAACTTTGCCCTCAAATTGGCTACCTCCAAATGGGTAAGCTGCAGGGACCTTGTTCTCACCACCCTCTCTGCCTGGAAGAATATGTCAGCCTGCCTCTGTGCCTGGGGCAAAACAAACAACAATGGCATAATGTCACCACACCAACACTGTTCTTCACCAACCACATGCCCATTCAACCCATTATTTTAGTAACACTCACCCCCAACCTCCTTTTCACCAGGCTTCTTGACCTTCTTAATCCTCATTGGGTTGCCATCATCATCTTCTATGTCAGAGTCCACCTCCCATGAATCTGACTCTGACTCCTCAGACTCAAAGGGATTATCCACCACACCAGGCCCCACCCCTACATCAGGGTTTGGTGGTGGAGGGGGTCTCTCAACCCCAGACTTCCCTGCCACCACAGCTTTCTTGACCCTTGCAGCAGGGCCCATCTTCATAGGACTCATCCCCATAGTCTCATCATGCTTGCCCTTGCCATTGCCATTGGAGGCATCCTGAGAGCAGCACAAGGGAAGAGGAGTAACAGTGCTGGGCTGGTGGCCATCTATAAAACACCAGTGGCACTATGACAAACTTCTATGACACACCACTGAGGCCAACTAGACAAGCAACAGTCACACCAGCAACATGAGCAGGCTGAGGCCCCTCAGGCATATCAGTGGAACTGCCCCACTGGTTGTGTTGCCTATGGTAAGCAGATTCAGCATCTGCATAGTCCTTAGACAGGGCACCCATGTACCAATGGGGTCATGGTGAATAAATTGAGTGTAGACAAACACTCAAACATAAACAGTACCATGTTACATACTAGTACACATTGTACACATTTGATTGAAGACAAGTATCCCACATGCCCCATGATGGCCAACTGCACCATCCTTCATTCCAGTTGGGCTCCCATGAGCTCCAGCCCTTGTTCCCTTTGAAGACTCCTTTACCCTGGCCCTTTCCCTTCTTGCCACTGCTGCCTTTGCCATAAGGGCCATGGTAGCCACCATAGCCATCATAATCAAAATA